AAAGCAATTGAACTATTGATTTTTAACAAGAAGTCGAAAATATCACTTTTTACCAAAAATTACAAAAATATTCACCAAAATTAGAGAATTGAAGATATCATCACAAAATGAACAAATCTGAGAAAGGTCCACATGTAGTATCTATATATGTAATATCAAAGCAATCGGACTTGCGGTTTTTAACAAGAAGTCAAAAATATCACTTTTTACCAAAAATGACAAAAATATTCACCAAAATTAGAGAATTGAAGATATCATCACGAAATGAACAAATCTGAGAGAGGTCACATGTTGTACCTATATATGTAATATCAAAGTAATTGCACTTGCGGTTTTTAACAAGAAGTCGAAAATATCACTTTTTACCAAAAATGACAAAAATATTCACCAAAATTAGAGAATTGAAGATATCAACATGAAATGAACAAACCTAAGAGAGGTCTACCCAAGGTACATATACACCAAGTATCAAAGCATTCAGGCTTGTAGTTTTCAAGAAGAAGTCGAAAAAGTAAAACATTGACACGGACGACGACGACGGACAATCACTCATATGATAAGCTCCGCTCGACAAAGTCGACAGCGAAGCTAAAAATACAGGGGAGAGAAAAGATATACATATATTTTAAAAGTGAATCATGTGTTAATCTGGAGTGGGTTAGGGCTTTACAGCTTACTACCTTCTGCATGGATGAGATATTTTGGAGAGATAAACAATGTACTGGTCAAGTGCTGAAGCTGGCATCATTCATGCAGCTTACTCACAGACAACATAAACACAGTGTACAAGTCACATATGCATTTGTTGACAGAAATACTAGAAGAAGCTACTAGAAACAACAGAAGTGAATGGGGTGTGCAATGCTAATCTTGGATGGCTTGGACAGCCAGAGGCAATATGCTGGTGTGTCCACTGTGTATTATGGCTTGCATACACTCCCCCATTCATTGCAAGCATCTACTGCACATCAAACTATTGTTAGCATTGTATGCAGTACAATAAGGGATGCAAGTTTATAGTATATGCACACATAGTCAATTATAAATATTTGAGGTGAACCAATGGGGCACCAAAGCAGTTACACAACTGTGAATGAAATTACACAGTTTAAAATTGGGACACCACTGAACATTCATGATCAAAAACAAACGCTGCTATTTATATGATTTTTGCCCCCACCTCTCTCTGGCATTGAAAACACCATGGAATGAAACCAAATCAATATTACTGTGAAAAACATTTCTTTCTTTACTCTTTGTTTTAGCAATCCATCAGTGGAAATTAATCATGAGTGAACAATATTTTTGATGACAAGAGTGCAGAGTAGCGGAGTAGACTACATCTGTTGTGGTTAGTTTGGTGTGATCTCCATTTGAATGGTAATATATGGCACAAGTTGCATTCACCATGTCAGTAACATATTGAAATGTCAGTAAGGCACAGCCCTATTGTACAACACACTTTTCTTGTTTGACTCTCACACCTTTGCTCACAGCACTTTCCAGATGTTCGTATTCTTCCTCGGCACTGCAATATGGAAGAACAAAAGCAGCAGTTGAAATAAATGTATGCCATGCAAGCAACAGTAGATTCTTGTATTGTGTAATCTGTATATAATTTTATTATAACGGAAGACTCCATATGTTTAACTTGAAATTAAATGATGGTCAGTAATAAGAAAGCAAATATTTCTTAACTTCAATTATCTTCCCCCATGAGGTTATTATATTCACTGTTCAGCACACCACAAAATTATGGAAGCATATCTAATTTGCAACCGTTATTTAAACAGTTATGGTTTTTTTTTATTCAGTTAAATGACATATGGATATAATTCCTTCAGAATGGAGGGGTGGTGTGCTCGTCCTTTCAAACCAACACAGAGAGGGTTGGCTGTTGGGTACATGCTTGCTTTTTATTGAACACCATGCTCAGACTTACGCTCTTTCCTGCTCGTCTAATGTCTGAACCAGTTCATCTCGTTTATTTACCAAAATAACAAGCTCTTCCAATAACAGCTGTTCCCTTTTCCTTTCAGCTTCTGTCTTTTGCCAGTCTAGTGATACAAGCAAGAAAGGAATATGGTATTTTACCCAATCTGTCTGTCTGTGCAACTGTGACTGAGTCATCCAAGGTGAAGCATTCATTATAACAACATTTTGAGGGTCATGTATCATACAAAGAAATGAATCAACACTGTAACATGTGTTTGTATGGTGATTAATTAAATAAGAAACATCCTCTGCTATCATATCATATCCTATTGAATTTTACAATCATTTGTATTGTCTTCTAAATTTAGTAATATTCACTGATTTACATTGACGTGCACAGACTCAGTTGCAAAGAAAAAACAACAACATAGGTACACGTGCGATGAGGCTTCATAGTTGAATCTCCACTTCAAACATCCAGTTTGTAACATATAGCATCTCTTTATATGCACCTAGCAACAACGGCAAATGTTGAACTTTCAGCACAAGCACAGACAGTATTATCGATATTTAATTTACACAATTGCAAAATCGGCCACACAAGTGGAATGAAATCCAGAATAAATAAAACAAATTTGCTCTTGTGAATATTACACCCATTGTTATTCTCAAGTAATAAATAAAGTATTATATTTATAATTTTATTAAAAAAATTAGATGAGTGTGTAACTGTCTCTGTCTGGAATTATACACACAAACTGCAATGGTCAATGAACACAATAGCTGTGACATCTGTGCACGAAAGCTGACACCAAAAGTGAACAACCCATATCATGTGATCTGACATGTAAAATTTACCACTCAATTAACAAATGTAGATAAAAACAATTGAATACAACATTTTGTAATTATCTTGAACAATACCATAGAAAAGAAATAATTATATTTAATGCTTTAATTTAATTACAACTTATTTTTACAGAAATCAACATTTTTGTGTATTGTGCGCTAATAAATCTAAATTCATTAGCAGTGAATTTTATTTCACTGATTTAACTTACTGGCAAAATAGTGAAAAGCAGTCATTGTCAATTACATATTCCCACTAGTGTGTTGGGTGAAATTGCACTAAGCTGACATAACAAGAAAAAGTATGTCTATTATCATGTTTAATAATCGGTTGTTGACACGCTCAACATAAAAATGGGTCTTGGCACAGTTTTGAGTTAATCATGTCACAATCACAAATATAAATACAAGATCATAAATAATAAATACAAGATGAAGTCCTTCAGGTGTAATATTTTGATGTCCAAATTTTAAAAGTTATGTCTTGTCTTTGTACCAACATAAAATGTCCAATAAATTAGCAATACAATGTAAAAATGACTACTAGTACTGTAAACTTAATTTTATCAACATGACGCATTTCAAAAAGTGACAACATTCAAAGACAAAATTTCGCAAAAGTCTCTGTGACTCATCCGTATGCTCACTGCTACAAAATTTATTTGAAATCACACAGGGAGTCAGACTGACGTACTTACCAATCAACAATCAAACAATCTA